TAATGATTTTAAAAATGAGAGGGAATTGCCTTATCCTTGACTATATAATAGTAAAACCATTGTTGGAATACAAATATCCTCACTTTCAGTGTTCTGAGAAGAAAAAGGAAAATCATTTGCCTTGGCTGATGCTTAATTATGCTCAAAAAGTGCCATCAGAGAGGAGGTAAGAACCCAAGCAGCAACAATCAGCTATAGAAGCAACTCATTTTACACAGACGGCAGGAGTTTGCAGATTCTACCACCTGTGTATTCATAAGAAAGTGGGTGTTGACTGCTTCTTTTCATTATGCAATTCAAATAGTCATCCTACCCAATTCTAGAATAATTGAAAAAAGTTGGGCCTCCAGATAGCCTTTGAGCATACACTGTCCTGAGAAGATCCTTAGAGGTACCAATTGTTCCAATGATGTTAATTAAATAAAACTGAATTGTTGATGGATCTGAGGTTAGCCTTAGCTGATAGAAATAAAATTCTTTCCACATAGTTGCAGGAGAAAAGAGTTACCTGTCCTGAAGTGAAGACCCTGGCAAGAAATAAACTTACCTTATGGGGTGCCTGGCTGACTCAGTCAGAAAGAGCACACAACTCTTGATTTCAGGGTTGTAAGTTCAGGCCCCCATGATGGGTGTAGAGATTACTTACATAAAGAAATAAACTTAAAAAAAAAAAGAAATACCTTGCTTTGTAAATTATTTTAAGCCCTAGGGGAGTAGATAGCAGCACCAGGAGGAGAAATCAGAAGTAACATTGAAAAATCTTTCTTAGCTTAGTTGCTGGGGATTTCCTAAGTAATCTATTTCTGCTCTCTGATGGCACTGGTCCAAAATATAGGCAATACTTTGAATGAAATGCTGTTTCAAACTATCAGTTTATAGCCATGTTTGCTTTCACCAACTAGATAAAATAACTTCTTGTTCAAAGGAGCCAATATGAGTATTACAGATTAATTCCATAAGTAGAAGTTAAGTACTATTTGTTTAGTAGTAATGTTGAACTTTCTGTTGATGAAAGCAAAGTCATTAAAGATCATGAGTACTTGCAGACATTTTCAAACAAAATTTTTGGTCTAGATATTATGGTTCCCAATGTTGTGATCTTTTTCTACCTAACACTTCAAAATTCATAGGGTCATCTCACATTTGTTTCTTATTCTTACTATTTAAAAAGAAGTCTCAACTTATTACTTCTGGATAACTTCTTTGGAGTTAATTAACTATGATCTAGATAAATAAAATTATGAACATACTCTGAACATAAAGTATACTTTAGGAAGTAACTGGCTGTATTATCTCTAGTAATCAAATTTTCTAAGTTATTCTACAACATAAATTTAAATACTAAAGATCTCTACTAGACCACTAAGATATGTTAAATATAACATAAGCCTACTATATAAAATTGAAATAAGTTTACAGTTTTAAAGGAAGTATATTATTATTGATTGAGTTATTGGGAAGAATCGGCCTTCATTTTTGTACTTGCATAAAAAAATTCTATGGAAAAAAATTCTGTGGAAAGTCTAATTGACTTCCCAGACATTAAGTTAGGCACCTTCTCTCCTTTTTCTTTTTCTTTTTAAAGATTTTATTTATTTATTTGACAGAGAGAGAGACAGCACAAGCAGGGGGAGTGGCAGGCAGAGGGAGAGGGAGAAGCAGGCTCCCCTGCTGAGCAGGGAGCCCGATGAGGGGCTCCATCCCAGGACCCTGGGATCATGACCCGAGCTGAAGGCAGACACTTAACTGCTTAACCGACTGAGCCACCCAGGCGCCCCAATCTTCTCACCTTTCTTTATGGTATTTTTTCTTTTCTTTTCTTTTTTAAGATTTTATTTATTTATTTGACACAGAGAGAGAGCACAAGCAGGGGGAGCGGCAGGCAGAGGGAGAGAGAGAAGCAGGCTCTTGAGTAGGGAGCCTGATGCGGGGCTCAATCCCAGGACACTGGGATCATGACCTGAGCCGAAGGCAGACGCTTAAATGACTGAGTCACACAGATGTCCCGATGGAACTTTTTTTCTAATGAGAAAACATTTGTTTGGAGTTCTGTTTGGGTTTTCATTCCCAGGCAAAGATGCTAGTATTTTCTATTTCTCACTGAAATTTTACTCCTTCCCTTTGACAACTGCTACCTCAATAGAAGTTTGATCAGATGGGTTGATTTCACAGATGATAAACTAGCCCAGTAATTTGGTAGGCTTTTTTCCTGATGCCTCAAAATTCAGTATATACTGAAAATCTCAAACTGTTTGTCTTATTAACAATGATCTATATGGTATGTAAGTTGGAGAGCCTCAGTCAGAATTTAGCAAATTCCATCACTGCTAGGATTTAACACTTGGTCAGTCCACATGAATGAATGATTATTACTGAGAGTACAATCTGATAGCTTTCCCAATAAAATACTTTATTTATTTAGATGAAATGGTCATAGGTAATTCAGATAAGAGAATAAAATAAACCGTCATATACTACCCCAGTTAGTGAGTGAGCAGATAAGAGAATAAAATAAACCAGCCTACTATCCATAAAACCCAGTTAGTGAGCTTTGCTTATAAATGGATATAGTTTATTTTGTTTATTTTTTTCAAGATGTGGTTTAAATCATCCAGAATTGGTGATATAAAAAAATAACATTTACACTCTTGGATCATATGAAACAAATTTTAATACTTGTATGAGACAATCTGACTTCCATGACCAATATCCAAGATTAAAGCTCTTGAAAATTATTTACTATTAAGTTCTTTTGAAAAAGATTTATTTATTTGGGAGAGAGAGAGCACAGCAGATAGGGACAAAGGAAGAGGGGGAGAGAGTCTTAGGCAGACTCTGCACTGAGTGTGGAGGTCCACTCAGGGATCGACCTCCAGACCCTGAGATCACTACCTGAGCTGAAACCAAGAGTCGGATGCTTAACTGACAGCACCTGTGTCACTAGGCACCTTATTCACTATTAAATTTTGATTAAAACCATCAAAGAATTATATCACAAATGTCCAAACAAATCAGATTTGAAAATGTGTGTGACTGGAATCTCTTGGTCATATACATTTGGAATCTTGAAATAAATAATGGTACAATAATCGCTGAGATGTAAATATCACAATATTGATTTAGAGAAACATACATTACCTTTAGTACCTAATTTAAAGGCATCAACTCAATATTAACTTAAAGAAGACTGACAATTCCAGGTTACATTTATTTTCAAGAGATCTTTTCAATTATTTATGTTAAATGTGCATAGCAAATTTAGAAGCAGAATTGGCCAATCTATTGCATTATCAGATCATAGAATCCTCCGGCTCAGGACTGGGAAAGACCTTGGCTATCACGTACTTCAAAAACTCATCAAATACTATTATACTCTGTATTCTATTAACTTCAGGGCCATCAACTTACTTTTGGAAAGAGCTAATAATAGAACCTCCTACCTTCTAGGCAATCCATTTTCCATTAGAACAACTTCAACAAATCAAAACTTTGTTTTTTTCTACTCACCAAGCCACAGTTTCATCCACACCTTTGAGCCATAACGAATTAGATGAATCACTCTTCTAATGACAACCCTCTCCTTTCCTTAAATATTTGAATAGAGTTTCTACATGACAGAAGCCTTATTTTATCTGGGTTAAATATGCTAAATTATTTAAATCCTTATTTGAACACTGTTAAACTTTCATTCTCCCATTCACTATTCAGTCCTCTATTTTTTAGGGATATGGGCTTGTAAGTGGACACTAATAAGCATATTTAAAAAATTCACTTTCATTTTTAAGTATTATCAAGCACACAGATTGCAGAAGACATTGTAGTAGGCATACAGTATCAGGTGCTTATATTTGGTTACAATCAAAATTATAATACTGGTGATGTCAACAAATACTTGTTCATTATACTGCTTTATAGTTGAAAAAATTAACAAACTATATTGTCTCAGAATTTGTGTGAGGTAGGTAAGACAAGTCTATTTAATTTACATGTTAATTTGGTGGCGCCTGGGTGGCTCAGTCATTAAGCGTCTGCCTTCGGCTCAGGTCATGGTTCCAGGGTCCTGGGATCGAGCCCCCCATCAGGCTCCCTGCTCGGCGGGAAGCCTGCTTCTCCCCCACCCACTCCCCCTGCTTGTGTTCCCTCTCTCACTGTGTCTCTCTCTGTCAAATAAATAAACAAAATCTTTTTAAAAAATTTACATGTTAATTTAAAAACTATAGATATCCGTGACTAGCCCGAGATGAATAACAGATAATTCAAGGAATATTTTTCAGGTTTTCTAACACCAAAGATCAAGTCTTCTCTGCTACAGACATCAATTACTTTTATCTTTCATAAAAATAATTTTTGATTCCTAAGTAGTAAAGGGGGAAAATACCTCTCACAGATCTCCATTATTTTAGAAAACACTTGCTTTTAGTTAACATTGGGGAAAAACTGAGACCTTGATCTTCTTTAACAGAGGCTGCAATTTTTTTTTACATTAGAAAGAGAATCTTTTTTTAAAGAGTTTATTTATTTTAGAGAGAGAGAAGAGAGAGAGAGCACGCGGGTCGGGGGAGGGGCAGCGGGAGAGGGAGGGAGAGTCTTAAGCAGACTCCGGGTTGAGCGCAGAGTCTGGGGCTCAATCACTACCCTGATATGAGGGCCCTGAGATTATGACCTGAGCCTAAATCAAGAGTTTAGCCGACTGCGCCACCCAGGTGCCCCATTAGGAAAAGAATCTTACAGATGTCACAATTCGGGGGGGGGGAACCCCTAACAAAAGAGATGTAACCCAAGGCACGAAGACCTTGCCAGCAGGAGAAAAGTAAAGAAAATCTACAGCATATATTACTAAGATTTTTTTCGTGAAATTAGAGAGTACTAAGAGTACTAAGATTTAACAGAGCTGTACTGATATAAAAAAGAAACTTCTGAAAATTGAGTCAATGCAAGGACTAAGAACACTAAGCAGTGATCAAAGAAAATTTTAAACTTTCCTGTTCAAATAAAAATAAAAGGAATAACCTCACCTGAACAAGGGAGTCTTCCTCTTTAGAAAAACCTGAATCTTCCTGAATCAAAAGAGGCTCACTTTTCCCACAGCTCTCCTGGCTGATGAGCGTGTCCGCGTAGTTGGGCTGGGGGAAGATCACGTGACTCTTCCGCGAGTCCGCGGTCAGGGAGACCTCGTGGGAATAGGTCTGCAG